ATTTTATTCTAGTTTGGGGACGCAACATCTGTAGTAAATGTCTTTTAGGTCAAATTTGATCATTATTCAGTCATAATAACACTATATCAAGATACATTAATGCACTCCACCATGTCAACCCCAATTATGCATAGCAACGGGCGTTATTTATGTAACGCCGCAACGGCATCGAACTTTTTTTTTTCAAATAGCACCCTAAGCTGTCAATTTTGATTTTAATACTTGAATCAAGAGAAATGATCAGAGGTTATGTACCTACGCATAACTTGGTAGGTTTATTTGAAAAACAATTAATTCAGGAACTTCCGCCCCTATGATGAGTTATGTGCTGCGTATTTATAAAATGGGATGAACTACACTTTTAAAATACCTGATGTCATTGACGAGTTCAAACAAGGGACCTTCCGTGATACCAATATTCTGCATGAGCATTAATCAGGCTCTGGTTTGTATTTAAAGTATCTATACCTCGGTCTAGGACTGTTCAGCGCCGCCGTTTCTTCGTCGAGCGGTTTCAGCGCCGCCGTTTCTTCGCCAAGCCGTTTTATCGCCGAGGTCGTTTTAATGCCGCCTAATGTTGGGAAAACAAACGGGAGAGCCACAGTTCTCCCGAAAAGTTCTGAAAGCATTTCAAAAACATAGTCTTGCATTATAAATTCCTAGAATCTCATTTAGCAATCTCTGCCGTTACACTTATCATTATCAAGTAGGTCATTTGTGTTTAACTAAAACAACCTTTTGTAACAGCATTTTAGAGCTTAATTAGTAAACTGCGAGTTAATGTGCTTTTAAAGGGCAGTTTAATGTTGAGTCTATATAAGGTGAGTTTTGCCAAATTGACTTCCAATATCTCGTTAACACCTTAAAATAAACAATTTTATTGTTTGTTGTAATTATAATGACAGCGTTAATTAATTGCCTATAGAAGTAAATACTATACTGCAACAGCATTACCACAACGTTTCTTGAAAAATAAACTGGCTGTATCTCTAGAGCAATAAAAACTTTTATCCAGTGCGCTCGCTACAATATTAAATACAGGGTGTTTTTTTGGGAGCTTTAGTTAAAAGTTTCTGAGAAAGTAAAACAGGTAGGTTTTTGAAAATTTGTACTTAGGAGTTACTCTGAAGGCCGAATCGATGTAAAATATTTTCAAAATGGCCGCACTTCCGGAAACACCGGAAATAGATAGTAACTTCGTTATTTTAAATGGCAACCCCTATTTTTTATTGCATTTTTGGATTCTACGTGAAATTTCACTTCTTTTGATACCCATATGTCGATATCTACCATTTATGGTTTTTAAGTTATTTTGACTTTAAGAAAAAAAATGGCGGATGCAGATGGTACCTTGATAATTGATTACTTGCAAACGGTTTTAGTCATGGCAACCTATTTTTATCAGTGCATAGAGAATGAATAGGGCTTCCTTTTTGTGCACTTAAAAAAAAGTTAAGTTGCGTACGACCGCCCCTATGGATATCCAAATTTATGAAACTTCAAAGACTAAAAACTCAGTTTTTTTAAGTAGAATGACCATGTTCTTACTATTCCATGAGATAGAGAATCGAAATGGGCATATTTTGACAATACATGTTCCTATAGCTATTTTTAACAGTTTCTGACTTATTCCCATTTTATTGAATTGACACTATTTTTTTAGGATTTTCTTTTTAGTAGTCGGCCATGATTCTATAACAATTGAATTTTAAACAAATCTAGTGACACTAATCCATCACCCACTGTTATAGGTTAACAAGTTTTTCAATAATCGAAAAATGACTCGCAGTGGTTTCATCTATTTTGAAATTTAATTATTATTTATGGTGAAATGGGCAGAATCGCGGCGCGTGCTTTCCGTACATTCATTCGAAAACTAGAACGAAATTGTATGAATTTTGGAAATTTTGTACCCCTAATGCACTGCAAACCGTTGAAACACAAGTGATACAAAGCTCTACAAGAGAATATTTAAGATAATTAATTGAATTGAAAATGCAAGATTAACAAAATAAATTCAATGCAAAATATAAAAAACTTCGTTGAAACATTTTTGGTATGGAATTGTTGCTAGAACAGATATCGTATTACCTCTCTTAATTTCCAGACTTATACGTTGTTTAAGAAATTCAGTTGAACGACTCTGTTTAGATTTTTCAAAAATTTTCTGTCCTATATCCTTAATAAATGATTTATTTATTAATGAATTATTTAGACTAGAACTAGAATCAGTGGTATTAAAGAATCCATTCCTTGATTTGTTTAAAATTCGATTGTTATAAAATCATGGCCAACTACTAAAAAGAAAATGCGAAAAAAAATGGCATCAATTCCTAAATCAATTCAATGAAATGGGAATAAATCAGAAACTGTTAAAGATAGCTATAGGAACATGTAATATCAAAATATGCCAATTTCGATTCTCTATCTCATGCAATATTAAGAACATGGTCATTCCATTTAAAAAAACTGAGTTTATAGACTTTGAAGTTTCTTAAATTTGGATCTCCATAGGTGTGGTTGTACGCAACTTAACTTTTTTTTAAGTACACTAAAAGAAAGCCCTATTCATTCTCTATGCACTGATAAAAATGGGTTGCCATGACTATAACCTTTTTTAAGTAATCAATTATCAAGGTACCATCTGCATCCGCCATTTTTTTTCTTAAAGTCAAAATAACTTAAAAACCATAAATGGCAGATATGACATATGGGTATCAAAAGAACTGAAATTTCACGTAGAATCCAAAAATGCAATAAAAAATAGGGGTTGCCATTTAAAATAACGAAGTTACTATCTACTTCCGATGTTTCCGGAAGTGCGGCCATTTTGAAAATATTTTACATCGACTCGGCCTTCAGAGTAACTCCTAAGTACAAATTTTCAAAAACCTACGTATTTTACTTTCCCAGAAACGTTTAACTAAAGCTCCCAAAAAAACACCCTGTATATACACGACGATAAGTGCCGATTTCATGTAACTGGCGATGAACCGGGCCGGCGCTGAAACGGCGGCGATGAAACGTCCCTTTCCGTTTAAACCTACCTTCATATTCACAAGGAATTATTTGTAGCATAATGGATTACCGGAAGCCCCAATTCGAAGATTATTGTTTTTACGAGGAGAAACATGTTTCGTACAACAGATGTGCTATTTTGGTTGAAATTGTGCCATTATGATACTAAGCAATAACATATTGTAAACTCGTTGACACTAAGATATGTATTGTCGTAGCACTTAATAATTACCGTTTTGCATTATTTATTGATGATAATTCGTACAAGAGCTCTTACATACTAGGCATTGACTGACCAAATTGATTAAATAATGGCTATATAATAAGTATACGTTAACTAATACAACACCTCTTGCCCTTAAATTTGCAATAAAACTATAACACTTAAACTTCGTTTCTAAAACAGGAAGAAAGTTGTTGGATGTAGGCCCGAAAAGCGTAACGAAGTCCAAAAAATTAGATTATGTATGCGAAATAAAATGTTGTATTCCATTTGACAGCATTTCTGCAGCCATAATTGATACATCGGGATCGGATTTAGACAATAATTGTACATAGAAATTGTACCTACATACACATCACAATAAATAACAACCTAATAATGATCTCCTTAGGTTATGTAACAATCTCAAACTTAAACAATGAAAAATGAATGACAACCATTTACATTAACAATAATCTTACCTGTAAAATTACGTGTTGAATTAATGACGTTTGCTGGGGACTTCTGGCCGTTTGCACCGACAAATTTAAGCGGAACTTAGCTTAAGCGTAGCTTAAAATCAATGGTAACGATTATTGAGACAATCGTTGCCATGGAGTTTACGCTACGCTTAAATTTGTCGGTGAAAACGAGCATTAATAGGATAAATTGCCTATTTAGTTCGCCACTTACATTGCGATACCTAGGTACATTCTTAGACTATGAAAGAAAGTTCTCTAAGGGTACATTGAATTAGATTTGAGGTTAGGTAGCGTCAACGAACACAAACCATAGGTGTAGGTACATACATTCACATTGCGCTGTCTCTATGAAATTGTCACGTCTCCAAACATCCAACTCATTCGATTCCCGTATTTACTTATATGTAGGCAATTAAATAGTCGTAGATGATAAAATAGCGTATTTTACTTGCATAATAAAGGCGATTATGACACTCGGAAAAACCTTCACCTCGTATCTAATCGCACTCCTATAATATATGCTCGTACATGTACATATAATAATATAGGTACTAGTGTTTCTTTGACACTGTACCCATGGTGGTATAGACACTGTACCTAACAAGTATGTATAATGTTCTTTACCATAATTTAATCTTTGCTAGATTTCTACATGAAAGATAAGCAATTTGGATGTAATCTGAAACGAACATTTTGTAATGTAGTAGATGTTACAAAAAATGAGATTAGACTTTATTGCGAACGCATCGTAATATTTACCAAGAATCTTTTTGACGAAACATGATGCACTGTATATTTATCATATTCATCGCCATTTTAAATGTAAGTAGTTTTTACTAACGCCATATGTAATGATGTAACTACTTCACCTTTTCTAGCTGCAGCATCAAATACACGCAGGATGGGAACCGATAGATGAAATTTGCATTAACAGGCTTAATCTGGATCGGAAAGTGATGGAACCTATTGTAAATAAAGCCCTTCACACATTAGAAGATAAAGATTATCTGTCATATTCAGAATGCTATTGGAAGGAGTCCAAATTAATAAACGATAACGACGAAATAGATTGGGTACAAATCGAAAATATAGTGCCGAAAAGATTAAAAAGAATTAAACATATTTCTAATGTCATTCAATCATGTAAAAAATTAAATCTTCAGGGTAGGAATAACGGTGAAACGGCCGTCCAAATTCAAAATTGCATTTTCTTAACGCCTCTGTTTAGAGTATTAAATGCTGTCATACAACAAAAAAATAGTTCCGCAAACACAGTAATTGAAAATTGAAATACGCGTATTACTAAAATGTTTACAAAATCTACGTGCCTACATTATGCAAACTTATTTTTCTATTTTTTGGGTATGAAGTTTGGAAAAAAAGTCGGCGCGGGTTACTGTTTTGCGATTTTTCTCAACATTGTTTTGAAAACTGTAATTGCAGGCAGTCATGATTTTACTCTAACCTAATATAACCATCAATGTTTAAATTTCGCGTCACAATTTGCTATTTACATTTTGGATTAAACGCATGGCGTGGTCCAAGCTGTTATTTCTCTGTACCTTTATAGTAATTGTTTGTTAACCTATATTATACAATATACATGCATCTCTGGACTCTGGCTATGGATAGGTTCTCTTTATTATAATAATTGCAACCTACATATTTGGGTTTCACACTGCAAAATTTAGCATAGGTATATATTAATGGTTTACACTTCTCTATTAGGTATATTTATTCATTTTCTCGAATGAGCCTAATGACATTTCAAATCAATTTTGATACTATTACATGATTGAAATAAACGTAATAGCGAATAAAATTGAGCCACCGTCCAAAATGATTGCTGTTCCAAAGTCGAATTTATTTATTTATTTATTTTGCCTTTATTTTTGAGTCGGCGGAGTTTCAGCCAAGGCTGCTCTACCAACCCAACCCACTATACATTTGCAAATATCTATGCACGAAACCGAATTCGAACTAGGGACACATCGCACCGCAATCTATCAGCTTCATCTGAAATGCGCCACACGGACTGGAAAAGAAGGACACGGACACCTACTAACCCGTATCAACTGGAAAGTTTCAAACCGTCAAATTTGATATATTCTAAAACTCTCCTTTACTATATGATCATGTACCAACGCGCACTGTAATTCTGAAATAATGAAAGGTCATTTGATTATACCTACTTAATTATCCACTTTTAAAAACTACAATACGCGAGGCTTCAGATTCCAATCGACCCTAGACTAGTCCCGACTAAAGTATCTCAAAAGAAAGCTTCGCCCTCTCCTCCCTCCCATCCAACATCATGGATCTGCACTGATTGGAAATTGTCATCAACACCTAATAGCCTGCCCTATTGCTTTGATTACTTTGTATTTACTTTACTTTACATTACTTCGAGCCTAGCGTTGAAACTTAGGTCCAGTATCGCCTCATCGAGAAAGTTGAGACAAGAACTAAGTATTTCTGTTTTCTGCTTCTGAATCCACCTGGTAAAGCTGAAAGTTGGCGTATCATCTCTATTTAAAAAAGAATGTCTATAGTGCTTCCTTTCGGTTACTTCGCGACCATGATTTTAATAACGCTCTTAGGATTACGTTTTACGAAAGAACGCGCGAATTTAAATCAAAGTATGGTTAAGTTTAGGTACGTAGTACTACACATTTGCATTCGAATTACGTATTTTTTGTTTGGATTATGAAAATAATATTATAAGTACAAGTAGGGGTATTTGCACCATTATGCTCCTCTTCAGTTATAAATATTGACTAGCCTAACATTTAGAGCAAAAATATCCTTGCATTTAGGTAGGTTAGGAATTCGCAGGGGAATTCGTGATCAGTAAACAAATCTTAAAACTTTTATGTTCAGTTTGTTTGTTCAGTTTGTTCACGATTTTAACAATCATGATTATATAAGATCACACTTCGTAGGAACGCGATTTGACAATCCAAAGGCGTTTGGATCACCGAAAGAAAGCGCCTTATATCACAAATTGAGGAAACCCCAAAATAACAATTTTCCGGGTTATTTACAAAAGACGTAATTTGATAGCACAAATGTATTTTACCCCATTAATTAAGAAAAGCTTGACAAATACATACTTTGATGACATATCTTTCCCCATCGTCCTGTCACTGCCTTAGATGCCCGTATGAATAAAAGTAAACAAATGCTTATACTTGCAACATTCAAAGTAAATACTCGTAACTGCCCCTTCATACTGGTCTGTTCAGCATGGTTTAGCAGCGCTGCACTGCGTCCTGTCCTTCTGCTTAGAAGCGCTGCCCGCCCCAGTGCGAAGGGGCACTTACGAGTATTTACTTTGAATTTTGCAAGTATAAGCATTTGCTTACTTTTATTCATACGGGCCATGGTCTAAGGTCACCGCCCATCCAAACAAATTATCATAGTTCCCTGGTCAGATGTTTACATTTTTGATTTTTGTTTTGACATTTCCATTTTTCCCTTTTCAAGTATACATTTAATATTACAGTTCAATGCAATAATGAGCAAATCAATCACAAATTTGAAAGTATTTGGTAAAATTGTTCGATTTTTTGTAGAGTCTAATGGATTAGTATGATTTTTAGTTTCAGACGAAGTACTTAACCTCCGATTAGTAGACATCGATCAGCTCCCGAAGCTCAAGTAAGGTATCAAAATCAAGTACAATAAGTACTAGTAAACATTGTAGAGATATCGACGATATTCCGCTCGGATTAAACCGGAAGAGTGACATCAAATACAATGATGTGTATGTGTGAAAGGGGAACTACAAAAAATTTAAGTGAACTTTTAAAGGTGTTTGTTGGATTGCTTGAAGTCTAAGCGGCACAACCAGAAAGCACGATCGAGAGCTGTTGATGCGAGGATTCGTAGATCTCATTCCCTACACCGCCGAGTGTGTACTACTCAATCGAGCGAGACACTTGGTAAACCAGTGGACATGACAATTAAGAAATCCTCTTCAAGTACTCCAACTGTCAACAAAGAGTAAGTTAGATTAGTTAGATTGTGGACCGTGCAAAAGTAGTTTAGGTCCCTACTTTACCTAGATCTTGCGAAAACGAGAACCAATTAGAAACTCCGACAGGAAGGTCGTTTATTGAAGGAGAAGACATCAGTACTAAACCAAATTAGTAAGTGCTTACACTTTTCCACAATGATAAATAACCAACACTTTTAGTGGAGAAGTTTTAAATGCATTTGAGAGCGTCGAAAGAGAAGTTGATTAGTAAGTAAAAATGTTTTCAAGTATAGTGAAAGAGCCCAATTTGTAGCGATGATTTAAATTCGTTCATTAGTGAAGACGAAACTATAAAGGGCGACGAAAAATTGTGAGTGGATTTAATTTTAGACGTTGGATTTTGAGTAGGTGCCTTTCAGTAAACCATATTGGGAAGACCCGCGATACACACCAAATTCCAATAATATTACAGTCGATACATTACCTTTGTTGCCAAACCTTTCAAAATATTCCGGTCAACTGCTATGCAAAATTGCACCTCCAAAAAATCTCTCATATAAGTACGATCAGGAATCGGATGTATGTAGCTGTTCTGTAATTAATAATGGTTATAATCGACGATACCTAGAGCAAGGTAAGTTAAAGACAACCAGTATATAGATCAAAACCCACATTTTAGATTTTCCATTATTTTACCATTTGTTATGCTCACTAATCAGTATAATTATTGCATCTTGCATTTTTTTCTTTATACACACGTTTCGATGGGACGTGCAAGATTTTCAAAAAGAAAACAAAAGACATGGAGGTGTTTTGGGCTACTTGTATCAAATTCCGGATTATCTACTGAAAGAACTTGGCATTGGCAAGGTATTCAATTTTTTAAATTCTAATGTTGTACAAAAGCGTATAGGTTCCAAATTAAGGATCGATACCACAAATTTATAACGAAAAGTCAACGAAATAGTTTCTTTTTGTCTTTTACGCATTAATCACAACTATCAAGATTATGTACTTCAAAAATTTCTGAGAGACATTAAAACATACCTCATTTCTTCTTCTTCTAGATTAATCGACTCTTAGAATAATTCGTCCTGCGAATAATTTTTCTGAGAAATCTGTACAAATTTAGTAGTATATTTTTTAATTTACAGCAATTACCAGCATCCCTTCCCAAGAAGCATTACTGGTGGTATCATGTATATCTATACATATGCAAATTAATAAATAAATGTGATGGGTGAACTGAAACTTATTTATTTACTACTTTTATTTACTCTTTATTTTTCAGTTTTATTATGACAATGTAATAGAGCAGGGGTCGGCAACCGGCGGCCCGCACGCCGTTTCTTAGTGACCCGCCAAGTGTTTTAAATTTTACTAAGTATACTATAACCCGAACTATTCAACCACAAAAATCTCATTAATTTTTTGTATAATTCTTCTTGTTTACAATAAATGTAAAACGTTTCTTATTCTATCCCTTTTGCAAGTAATAGTATTTTAATTTTTTCCTCAAGAATATTAAACCATTCTTTCAGGAACAAAAACTCTCTTTAATCCCTTGTTACTTAATATACTATTTTGCTGTCGCTCCAACGCAAATTACTACATGAAAAATAACTGTTTTGTACTCATTTCGGGCGCTAAAACTGTGAATTCGAATTCAAATTTTCCAGGGGAGGACCCTCGGACCCCCCTCCCCTTGAGAGGTACTCCCCCCCAAACCCCCCGGTGGCCCCTCATACACATCACAACTACACATTCGCCCACATTTACCAAAAGGTTGCCGACCCCTGCAATAGAGGATTCAATGACACAATAATAACTTCGTACAAGCTCGTTTATTCCACGAAGAAGCATGAAAATTTCACTCGATGCGCATAGCTAGCGAGTGGAAAAGCATTCGGATAGAAAAAGATAACCTCTACGCGCGACGACTGTCGTAAAACAACTTGACAAATTTTTTTTATTACACGCACTCTTACGACAAATGGCCGTTTGCACCGACAGATTTAAGCCGAGTTTAGCTTAAGCGTAGCTTAAAATCCATGGAACCATTGTCTCAATAATCGTTGCCATGGATAAGCTACGCTTAAGCTAAGCTCTACTTAAAATTGTCGGTGCAAACGGCCATAAGTACATTAACTAAACAGTAATCGAAATAATTCTGCCCATTTTATATCAATTATTAATGACCATTATATTGGCATTAGGATTTGTCATAATTTTATAGAAAATGTAATTTTAATAACCCAGTAAAGGTCAATCTTAATAATACTTTCAACGTATGGAGAAATCCCCCACCAGTATCGGCCACTGTTTACTGCGCATCTAATAAGCGGGGTTACACTAATATTCTCATGCTTCTTCGAAGAGGAATAAACGAGCTGTAATTATTTATACGCCACGATTCTCATGCAACAGCACTAATGAGTACCGTATGTTGCGAACTCTAACAATAAGTCACGTCTATCATGTTCACAACACCATTGTAAGTTTACCAGGAAGGTGAAATTAAAAAAAAAACTCAAAGATAAGGTGTGAATGATACTCCAGTGGTACTTACAAAAGCTATAAAAAATGTCAGTTCTAAAGTGTCTTCTCAAACAAATTTTGGCCATGATAATCTAAAGAATTTATCTGGACGATTGGAGCAACTAAACATATGTCATTCTTGAACCAAACATTATTCTGCTGGTGATATGTGCAAGCAGGAGCATGTTTGAGAAATCCTGCTTCCAGTGTTGCTGAGAGGGAAGTTAGGAACTACATTTAAAAAATTCGTATCTCTTGAACGGATTGTGCTGCTGACGTGAAATTTGGAGCAGGATGAGGCAGAATGCTAGCAGGATGAGGTTTTAGTGATACTGATTCTAAAGTGTTGTAACTTCCCTCGCCTATCAAAATATAGTTTGCGATTAAACTTGGATTTCATTCCCATTCTAAACATTTGAGTATACACGCGCGTAATGCTTTCTTTTGTAACACGAAACTGCTCCATACACAGATTACATCCACGATTACATTACAATTTTTAGCGCATTTTTTAAGAATTAAAAAATGTGCTATTGTTTGCGTTTTGTCCGTCTGTCCGTCCGTCCGGACCCACATCTACCGTGTAGAAGTACTTCCAGGGGAATGGTCCTAGAGTCCTGGAATTTTTTGCAGTAGGTAGCCTATACCTTGAAAGTGTGCCAGACGGCCATCAAATTTCACTGTCTAAAAGGGGGGCCCTGGAACTAGTTTTATCCTTCATGGTACTCTAATGAAAGGTCTCAACGAAAGGAATTAATTTCTACCAACCATAACCCTCCTCCTCGACCTCTTATCGGGTATATTCCCTGATATACCTCAAGAACGGATTGTCGGAAGAGGGTACTCACAAAGGGCGATTGAGACGTCTGCAAGAAATATATCCATTGGTGATGTCAAAACAAAAGCTATTTCGGTTAAAAAAAATGCGCTTTATCTGCACTAGTGCACAATTTATACTTGTTTATTTTACCGCGATTACAATCCGTAGTTACAATGTAATCTGGGTTCAAGACACTTTTGTCTTAGAACACTATTCCTATCGTCTGTCCGGTGTTCTGTTTGTCCATCATACTATATCCTAGCCCCTACATTTTTCGCGCTATGTTGTAGCAGCGTAGCTTATTTGCTCTAGTACAGGGCTGCATGCCGTTAGCCTCCACGGGCCTTGGGAATACACTTTATGACCGGGCTCCTATAATGATAAAATTGTTTGTTCATCACTCTCATCTTAAACTAGACATTTTGATACAGCCACAGGAATGTTCATAATTTATTATGAATTTATCAGAATTTAAATAACCAATAATACCATACATTTTAGTGCTTGCTTACAATGAACGTATACGTAAGAAATGCATAAAACTTAAAAATTTCGCAAAGTTGAACTATATAGAAACATACGAAGGTGTTTACAATGAACGTAATTTTTACGTACGTATGGAAGTCTTGCGCATAGTCCCAAAAGTTGAAAATGTTTCAAAGTTACGTACGGTCAATGATCATACTACTAGTATGATCTTTGGTTTATTGTAAACAGCGAAGTAAATTTACGGAAAGGATACGGATATGTACGAGTAAGTGTGCGTTTACAATGAACGTATACGTAAATATTTCATAAACCGTAACTCGAACATATCCGTATCGTTTCCGTAAATTTACTTCGCTGTTTACAATAAACCAAAGATCATACTACAAGTAGTATGATATTTGACCGTACGTAACTTTGAAACCTTTCAACCTTTGCGACTATGCGCAAGACTTACATATCGCTTATACAGGGTGATTCCTATAGTACCTGCCACCGTTTGGGAGCGTGTAGGTGGTGCGTAGGGGAGTATTTTGATATAGGACACTTGGGGTCGGAAATCTAAAATAAGGGTGCCAGAGCCAAATTTACCTTCTGGAATTTCGCGCCTGTAGGTAGGCAACCCAACCGGCCGGCGGTGCACACGGAGCGATCTCAGGCGGCGATGTGTGGCTGACACTTGATCAGAATTTTGTTTAAACCCACGAAATCCCGTCTGCAACGACGCGTATTAAGTGAATAAACACTATGGCACGTTTTACTAACACGGAATACGCGGACATGCACTTCATGTACGGATTGGCAAATGGTAACGCACGAGCTGCACGACGAGCGTACGCTGAGCGGTATCCAAACCGTCAGTTACCCTGCAGACAGGTCTTTCAAGAAGTTCACTTCCGACTGTGCGAGACAGGGCAATTGCAGGTAAGCTGACGGAGGCTTAACTTTACACACAGATTCGTGATGCACATCGATACTTGGGTCATTTAAGCACCCATTTCGAAAAGTTTGTTTGTTTACACCGACCTCCTCCTATTTCGCAGCCCACTAGCGCCCGTGATCGCGATCGCCCGTTGGTAAATGCCTTAGAGGAGGATGTGTTGGAACGTTTCGAGGCAAACCCGCGTACTAGCACTCGGCTTGTAGCAGATCAGGTGGGTTGTAGTCAACACACAGTGTGGAACATCGCCAACAACAACAACTTACACCCCTATAAGTTTAAGAAAGTGCAAGAGTTACGGCCGGGTGACCATGAAAGGAGGCTGGAATTCTGCAACTTAGTCGTCCAGGAGGAAAAAGCTAATCCGAACTTTCTGAGGAGCGTGCTAGTTACTGACGAGAAAGGATTCTCAAGAGAGGGAACCTTCAATCCTCGTAACAGCCACTACTGGGCGGAGCACAATCCTCATGAAACGTTTACGCGAGGATACCAGGACAAGTTTTCTTTAAACGTTTGGGCTGGCATCCTGGGGACAACCTACTGGGGCCTTACATCCTCCCTCCGCGTCTAAATGCCCATAATTACCTGATTTTCCTGCGCGAGGTGCTACCAGAACTTTTAATGGATGTTCCAGTGAACTTGTACTGGGACCATTGGTTCCAGCACGATGGGTGCCCTGCTCACTACGGGCGGCAGGTGAGGGAACACTTGGACCAAACCTATCCGGACAGATGGATCGGCCGTGGAGGTGCGGTGGAGTGGCCTGCCCGCTCGCCCGACATCACCCCATTAGATTTTTACTTGTGGGGTGTGATGGAAGCGCACGTCTACGAGACTCCCGTCGAATCCGAAGAGGACTTAATTGCGCGCGTCGTCATGGCCGGAGAGGCTGTTCGCCAGGACATAGGAGTCTTCACGCGAGTTCGAGGGGAGTGGTTGGCTAGATGTAGGAAGTGCATTGAGAACAACGGTGGCCACGTTGAACACTTGTAAACGTTATTGCTTTTGACTGTCGTTTTCCCTCCTTCCCTCCCATGTCGCTTCCTCGCGCTAACTCGCTCTGCATCGCTCCGCGCGAAACGTCGGTCGGTTGGGTTGCCTACATACAGGCGTGAAATTCCAGAAGATAAATTTGGTTCTGGCGCCCTTATTTTGGATTTCCGACCCCAAGTGTCCTATATGAAAAGGCTTCCCCTAGGCACCCCCTATACGCTCCCAAACGGTGGCAGGTACTATAGGAATCACCCTGTATATACATACGTACGTAAAAATTACGTTCATTGTAAATACCTTCGTATGTTTCTATACAGTTCAACTTTGCGAAATTTTTACGTTTTAT